ACTGCAGCGTCTTTCAAGCTGAGGTCGCTGCCATACAGGAAGCGGTTGAACACCTACGTACAAGAGAAGTCATTTATAACGATATCTTCATCTACTCAGACAGTCAGGCCGCACTCAAAGCGCTCGACTCGGTCACATGCAGTTCAAAAACCGTAGCGGACTGTAGCAGATCTCTAAACGAGATGGCTGAGCAGTCTGAACTTCACTTGGTATCGGTTCCGGGACACCGGAACATACCAGGCAACGAAAAGGCGGACGAACTTGCAAGAGAGGGCACATCCGCTCCACTTTCGCAGGCCTGGAAGGGATTAGGCATGCCGCTCGCTACCTGCAAGCTCATTCTAAGGGATCTGTCTCTTAAACTAGCAAGGGACAGGTGGGATAGCCTCACCACTTGCAACAACACGAAGCTTACATGGCCTAAATGGGACAAAAAGCGGTCGAAGGATCTCCTCATGCTGAGCAAAGGAGACCTAGCCGCAGCTGTGGGTCTGCTAACAGGCCATGTTGCTATCGGGGGGCACGCGGAGAGGTTAGGGATCCCCCATAACGACTTCTGCAGAAGCTGCAGAAATGAAGAAGAGCCAGAAACCTTGCGGCACCTGTTATGCGATTGCCCCGCACTTTGTAGAAGAAGACAAAAGTTCATGGGTTCAGGATTCTTTGAGGACCTAACCGACATAGCCGAAGTAGGCATACGGCAACTTCTGGGTTTCGCAAAATCCACACGATGGTTTGAGTAGGAGGGTTCTAACGATCCGCGTGGTATCACAACGGGCCCACAACCTAGGGCCTATGTGTGCTAGTGGGGTCACTGGCAGCCACATCAACCTAACCTAACCTAACCTAAGGTAAGAGGAGGGGGCATGAGGATTCTCTAGAATGCCATCCTGTGCGGAATTAGAGCAGCCAAGATGACCTAACCTTACCTATTTAAATCAATCCGTGCTTGTACGTCTCTTCGTATCTGTCTGAGAGGGAATTACACTACCAACTTTTCTGACCTTTAAACAAACATATGCTGGCTTTGCAGCTGTTAATACATATTGCACTAAAGGTACTCCAAAACTTATCCTATTTCCCTGATCTACCTTCGAATTTTCTTTTCTGCTTAAACCGGACTATGGTGGTATTTCTGTGTTTGACGGCAAGACCCAGAAAAACACATCATATAATCAATCCTTTTTCAGGATCCTCTATGTCTTTATAAACGCCTACTGGAGAGATTTTTCTAATGCTAGTGCACAACCATCATCCGATAAAAATTGGAAGTGAACAAAGTCTAGCACTACCGAAAGTATGGAGTACACTACCAAACATCACAAGAGAGCTGAGAGTACACTGCCCTATGGGCATCCTCTTCCAATCTCTGTCGTGACACAAACGCCACACTCCACAGTCAGAACTGTTCTAGATAATATGGAGCGCACCCACCTTATGATTGTTTTGTCCACTCTTAATATCGGCGAAGATTCCCATTGGGTACCTCCTACTTCTAGCCTTACTTCGATGTCGGTCAGCTTTTTGTTAGCGCATCATTGTCCTTACTATTTGTTTTTCCGAGATACGATTTGGGGCACCTTCTAAAATTTTTTTTCTTACCGAAAGAAGTGTTGGTACTAGAGCTCTCGGTTTTGTTCGCACATTTTCAAACAGCCCGGGTATATGAGCAGCGAGTACTCGCACACTTGTTCAATGCTCATTACTCGAAAATTTCCGAGCATGAGCTCGAGCAATTCGAGTTTTTTCGAGTAATTTGAGCAATGTTTTTTTTATTATATTGACATTTTTGGTAGCACCTTTTAAATTTTTCAAATTATTGATATATAATGCAAAGATTGTTACATTGTTATTTAATAATATAATTTATTTAACATGAATTAGAAAGCAGCTGCTGACAAATACAATTTACAAATTTTCTTTTGTTTATGAAATTGTTCAAAAACTCGAAAATTTTGAACAAACATTTGAGCAGTTGAGCAATGAACGAGTTTCGAGCGAGTATCGAGCTACTCGCATTGCTCGATACCCGGGTATCTAGAGCTCTAGTTGGTACCTTTAACTTTACGTTTCTAAGTACAAATGTAGAGGATGTTCATGATACTCATATTTTACTCTAGAATTATTGTGTACATATATAATCAAACAATTGGTTAAGCAACTTAAGAATCTTGAAAATTTAAATTATCTAAAAAATTTCCTAAGCTTCAGTTGTCATGGCAACAGTAGCTTTTTATAAAAATCCCAATATTTTTGAAGGGTTTCACAGCGATCCAGTAGCGCATTTCAAGGTCAATGAGCACCCTGTATTAGTTGCGGTAGAAAATTGAAAGTTGGTACAGATATTTCAAATATCAAAAGGAAAAAACTAAAGGGATGCTTAGTTTTCTATGACTATATTTTCCCCCCATACAAAAATTGGACCACTCTAAAATGAGCGCAGACAGTTTCACTCGTAAAATGAAATGTATGGCCTATAGCTAGGCGATTGAACTCATCACTTTTGTATAAGTCAAAAAGTGTGGTTCATAAGAGGTAATCTCTCGATTGTTCCCCGCATACCGGTCAGTCTGCTGTGTGGTCAATAAAATCACCTTCATCTTGCTCATGCTCCGTTAGGGTGGCATTAGTTAGTTTTGATATACTCAGGGTAGATGCTATCTAACTTGACTTCATAGGCTGAATTTTGCTTTTGGACCGAATTGTCATAGAATTGGCGATGTCTTATGAGTTTATATTACCATAGAGTCTACCCATAACATGGGAAATCCAGGGGAACAGAGTTAAACATTAGCTTTGGTATACTCTCTTTAGTTTATTTTAGATTTACATATTTCAAATCCATTGTTCCCTACTTTTGGCAGATAAAGTTGTACAGGGAAGTACAAACCTGATTGGCCCACAAAATATCGGTGGTGTTAGTTTGTAGCAACAAGCAGTTATTGCCGCTAGCTGTTGATTGATTGGTAGCCCAGTTAGTAAGAGAGAAATCCTCGCCACCAACGCCCCAGGTCCAAGTTTTTTGATCGATCAAGCGATTGCCAGCAGCCCAGTAGTTGTATTTGGTGAGACCTGTGAGGAGGGAAGAAATTATTGCAGCCGATATATATAAATTTCTGAAATAGAACGGCATTAAAATTCAAATATACCAAACAATTCCACAAATCCTTTCAATTCCGTTTCTGCTGAAAAGTCGCTGGGCGATACCAGATCCCAACCGTTCGAATAGCAGAAGTAATTGGAAGAAAACCAGGAAACCTTCGAGGAAATTTGGGAGAAATAAAGGATTTTGTTGAAAAATATAAAATAAAATGTGGTTTCCCAAAGTTATGTTTACCTGATTTTGGCTGACATAGTAATTGGGATTTTCTTGTAGGTTGCCACGCCAGTCGAATTCAATAGTTCCAGTCTCCTGATTTAGCGGAGTGGCCTGGCTGAAGGCAATCAGCACTGCAAGCGAAAGTACAAATTTAGTCGTGAACTGCTGCATTTTTTATGACTTATTGACAAAATTAAATTTATAACTGATTTTCATTGAACATTTTTGTGCTTTTTATAAGAATTAAATTTTTGGTAATTCCATATTTTTGCTGCTTTTTTTGTAAGTATAACAAAAATGATGAATGACTATGAATTGTTTGTGGACATGTATGTATGTACATATGTATGCATGTATGTATAATTTTTTTAAACAGATACTAGATATGCGCGCGTGCATTAATTGACGTGGGGAATTACTTAGTTCGAAACAAAGTGATCTATAAATTTATTTTATCTTATCTTTGCTAAACTAATCGGGTAGCATTTGGCACTGCATTTTTGGACTTCACTTTCAATGTTTTTGAATTGTACTTACGAATATGTATACTCCTAGTTTTCCCTCACCCGCTTCGCGGAGTGTATAAAATTTCTGACACTTCAAAATATTTTCAAATAAATACCTTCTTAAAGTCCTTTCCCAGGTGGCAACCCTTTTAAATATATTTCAGAAATAAAGCCTTTTCAAACCAATTTCGATTGATACCCACCTTTTTAAATAAATTTAATTTTTACAATTTTAAACACACGGTAACCCGCTTCAATCGTTCTTTATGTTCAAATAATTTGTGTACAAGTTGATTAAATGGGACTTCTCAAACAGGTGGTAACCCTCTTCAAAATTAGATTCAAGGTAATATCTTCTTAAGTATCCTTTGACTGATATTGTGATACATATTTTAATTAACTAATGAATTAAGTTGAATTAGATTTTTTAAACATGTGGCAACACTGCTGAATATAGTTCAGAAATAAAGCCTTTTCAAACCCATTTCGATTGATACCAATATTTTAGTAGGTAGGTTGTAGGTAGGTTGTCGCGGTCGTCTATAAGACACACTTAGGCTCAGGGCCCATTGTGATGCCGCATGTTGGGTCAGCAACTCCCGATCCCTCCTAAAACCATTTTGAACTTTGAACGAATTTTAGAAGATCCCTGATTTCGACGCATCTAAGGTCCTCCAAGTTGTCGAAGAATTGCCTACCGAGAGTGGAGAGTCTTCGTCTAGATAGAGCAGGGCATTGGCACAACAGGTGGAGAATCGTTTCTTCCTCTTCTTCATCTTGACAGCTTCTACAGAAGTCATGTGAGCGTAGGCCGAGTCGATCGGCGTGCTTGCCAATTAGGCAGTGTCCTGTTATGACGGATACTAATAATCTAATATTGGACTTATTTAGACTCAGTAGTAGGCCAGTGCGGTTGGCGCTGAGCACCGGCCATAATTGTTTGGCAGTTTTGCAGGTGATTTCGTCCTGCCACCTTTCGTTCGCTACTTTAGTCAGCCTCTCGGAGATAAGTAGCTTACAAGTTTGCAAGGGTATTCCTATTTCGTCATTTATATCCTCAAAAGGAAGTTTCGTGCCAAGTCGCGCCAGTTCGTCGGCCTTACAATTCCCCTCTATGCCGCAGTGTCCCGGAACCCATATTACCTTTGGGCGAAATGACTCAGCCATCTCGTTAAGAGATGCGCGGCATTTCATGGCTACCATGGAGGTTGTCGACTGCTTCGTGAGGGACTTTATTGCCGCCTGGCTGTCAGTGAAGATGTAGATATCAACTTGGGGTATCATATCACACTTTACCAGTTTCGTGGCCCTGTCGATTGCCATCAGTTCAGCCTGAAAAACGCTACAGTGGTCCGGGAGACGAAAGCTGAGGGAGATTCCCAGGTGATGGGAATATACACCTCCTCCAACCCTACCCTCGAGCTTTGAGCCATCTGTGTATACATGGATGGACTCTCCACTACTTACAGCGTCATGCTTCCACTCTTCCCTTGAGGGTAGGAGGGTCGCGAACGCTGTAGCGGGTGCAGGTTCCGGAAGTGCATAGTCCACCAATCCGGGTAGCCCCGGAACTTCCGTTAATATTCTACCGTGACCATAACTGGTATTTGACCACTTATTTAGAATATTCATTCGAATTGCCGCGCCACTTGCGACTTCTTTGGCATGTAGGTCCACCGGAAGAAAATTCAGTAGGGCATACAGTGCCTTGGATGGTGTTGTTCTCATCGCACCAGTTATGAGTGTGGACGCAAGCCTTTGAACCTTGTCCATTTTTTTGAAGTTTACCCCTTTCCCAAGGGCGTTCCACCATACCACTATACCGTGATAGAGAATTGGCCTAACCACCGCCGTGTATAGCCAGTGTATTATTTTGGGTTCCATCCCCCATTTTTTCCCTATTGCTCTGCTGCAGGAATATAGTGCCACTGTTGCTTTGCGCACTCTATCTGCAACGTTGGGCCCCCAGTTTAGTTTCCTATCTACTATGAGACCTAGATATTTGGTCTCTTCCTTTATTGCGAGGGTATTGCCCTCTAGGGTTATGTTCCCGAGATCAGGTATCTTGTGCTTCCTGGTGAACAGCACAAGGTCTGTTTTTTCAGGATTCACTCCCAGTCCTCGCCTGTTACACCACAGGGAAAGTTTGTTGAGGGATCTTTGGATCAGATCTGTCAATGTTGAAAGATGTTTACCCGAGATAGCTATTACAATATCGTCGGCGTATGCAATTATCTGACCGCCAATGTCTTCAAGTTCCCGAAGAAGGCTGTCTACTGCTATAGTCCACAGGAGCGGTGATATTACTCCCCCCTGGGGTGTACCCCTGACGGGGAACCTTTTTATAACTGATTCACCTAATCCTGCGCTTATTTCTCGGCCGATTAACATTCGTTCAATAAATGAGGTTAGTGAATTGCTTACTCCCAGATTTATCAGAGATGAGATAATCGCTGCAGGAGATACATTGTTGAAAGCACCCTCGATGTCCAGGAAGGCCGCGAGGGTGTATTCTTTGTAATAAAGTGATCTTTCAATTGTGTGCACTAAAGAATGGAGTGCTGTTTCGACTGATCTCCCTTTGTTGTAGGCATGCTGGGCTGCCGAAAGTTTGCTGCCCACCTTGTCTCTAATGTGCCCATCTATTATTCTCTCTAGAGATTTCAACAGGAAAGACGACAGACTAATTGGTCTGAAGTCTTTTGGTCTCGTGTGTGTAGTTTTCCCTGCCTTGGGAATGAAAACTACTCTTACCTCCTCCCATTTGTGGGGTATATAATTCATTCGTAACACTGCTTCAAAGACTGGTACGAGTATGGGTGCAATCATTCCTGCTGTATGCTGTAGGTCAGCGGGAATAATGCCGTCTGGTCCCGGAGATTTAAACGGTTGGAAGCTGCTAATAGCATGCTTTATGTTCTCCTCGGTTATGATATTCGCTGGAATGTCATCATGGTTGCCTATGATTCGGGTATTTGTGACTCTACTGTGGAGGCAACCCGGAAAGTGCGTCTGTACAAGAAGCTCTAGAGTTTCTTCGCTGCTAGTTGTCCAATCACCATCCTCCTTGATGAGATAGCTAATATTGCTGGGACTCATAGATAGTATTTTGCGCAGTCTGCTGGCCTCCGAAGTACTTTCTATCTTCTGACAGAAGTTCCTCCATGAGGAGCGCTTAGCGTCTCTTATTGCATACTTAAATCGGCGTTGCCAATCTTTAAATTCACTCCAAGAGTTGGATCTCTTAGCTTCATTAAATTTTGATCTGCATTCCCTTCTGAGGGTTGCAATTTCAGTGGACCACCATGGAGGTTTTGGTTTCCTACTTGTTGCCATGATTGGGCAGGCTGATTTTGCTGCACGATGAAATGCTTTAGTTATATCGTCTACGACGTTATCAAGTTGATGTTCCGAGTTTATTTGATTTGTGAGGCCGGAAATATTATTAGAAAATATTGTTTCAAATTTTTTCCAATTTGTTTTTCTGCGGTTTAAGACCGCTTGTTGTTTTCTTATTGGTACGTATAGGTTATAAACGACGTACATGTGATCCGAAAAGGAGTTGTCTTTTGAGACTCTCCAGTCATTCAAGAGTTCTGCCCCCTGCTCATTGATACATGTAATGTCAAGGACCTCCCTTCTAACAGACGTCACAAAGGTAGGGGTATCACCTACGTTGCTAACCTGTAAGTTATTGCACATAATGAATTCGAATATCGACTCACCGCGTTCATTTGTATCTGAGCTGCCCCATATGTGATGATGGGCATTCGCGTCCGCTCCTATGACCATCGGAGTGCCGCGTCTAGAGGCCTCCATTACCGCGCTCCTTAAGGATTGTGGTGGAGGTAATGTTTCTGCGTCGTGGGCCATATATGTGGAAGCCAGCCAAATAGACATTCCGCCTGATTCCACTGCTATGATGACGTTGTCCGCATCGCTAAACTGTATCAAGAGAAATGCATTAATACACTTTTTTATCAATATGCACGACCTGGGTTTACCTTTGTCAGTTACATAGAACAGCTTGTATCCCTTCATATTCAATCCACAAACCCGATCTTTTATGACCCAAGGCTCCTGGATGAGTGCGATCTCCTCTTCTCTTTCGGCGAGACGGAGGAGAAGTGCGGCTGAGGCCGCCTTGCAGTGGTGGAGATTAATCTGAACTATCCCCACCATCAGTTTCGCGTGCTGCTGCTGGACAGCCAACCACAGTCCGGTTGACGTCCTCTTCGTCCTCCACCATGGTGTCGGAAAAGTCGGAGTGGTCCCCCGCCCCCTCGTCTAGAGTCACCCTCTCGAAGAGTTCGCCGACCATTCCGGAGGTGGATGCCACTTCGTCGTCAGTAGCACTTTCCACTGCGCTCGCTTCGTCGGTAGGGTGTTGTTTCCCTGACACGTCCTGCCGATAAACATGGAGGTTCAAGGCTTGGAAGCCATAATTTATCCTCCAGTTTTGGTTGGCTAGCGGTTCTACTGATTCCTCGTTGAGGACTATTACCGCTAACCTTCGCTTGCCATCGATATCGCCTATCTTTGCTACCTTCCAGTCGTGGGTGGGTAGCTCGGGGTTGCCCATACGTATCCATTCCAGCACTTCCTGTGGGTCGGTGTGGAAGTCTGGAATCCAGGCCCTGGATCTGGGCCGATTGGGAATGTCTTCCCACTTTATCGCCTCAAGGCGTGCACCCGGCCAGACCTCGCCTACGCGACTGATGGCCAGGGTGTATAGGTCGACGGATCTCTGGTCCGCGCACCTTGTTAATTTGACGCGGTTTTGGAACCAACCGGCGTCCGCACAACTGGGGGGTGGTCCTGGGTTTTCCCCTAGAACCTCCTTATAGACGGCCCAGAGTCGCCTGTTGACCAGGTCCCAGTTTTGTGGTGATATTGCACCATCAAGTGAGCTGCGGTCTATCACAGCCCTGGTAAATGTGTCCTTCGCCGCGTCCGCGAAGGATCTTTTCTGCAGCTCGTCCGCTGTTAAAAAAGGCGGATACCCTTGTTCTCTTGGGTTCCGAGCTTAGCTCCCTAGAGGACTTCCGCTTGCCTTGAGCAGACTCTTGTTTGGCTTTCGCCTGGTGTTCAGCCATAAACTTTTCGGCCCAATTTTCTTATCCCTCAGTCTCTCCAGGATTCTGAGGGCTGACCGTCTGGTACGATAGTACCTTTCTGATGCACTAATGTGCTTCTGGGGATGGCTACTGCCCATCGCTACATTAGTGCCAGAATGGCGCACCTCAGAGGCCGCTGGCTTAGCCATGCGGTCTGATGTCGCCGACGCCGCTTTAGGGATTGCACCTGTCGATGTTCCCTTGCCTCCTGGAGTGGCGGGCACGGCAGCAGGGCTAGCTTGTCTTGTGACAGGGCTGCCCTTGCCTCCCGAAGACCTATCTGCGAGGGTGGGTCTGCTACCAGCACCGGACGGATTAAAATTCTCGCTAGCTTGTCTAGGGACATGGCTAGACCGGTTGCCGGAAGGGGGCCTCGATGCCGTTGAGGCAGTCCCAGAGGGGACAGAGCGTATGCTCAGCCCTGGCTTGGCCACAGACTTTGCACCGCTGGCTTGCTTGGTCTTGTCCGAGGACAGACCGGACCTTCCTGACTGGGTGGGTCTACTTTTTTTTGGGGGGTTCTCGGTTATCCGAGGCAGGTTTTTTATTTGGGTACATCATATCATAAACGTCCGCACTGCTCGACGTGGCGAGCGTGGCGGACTACGTATTTAGGGGGGGAAAAGGGAGTCGTCGACCACAGCGGTCCCCTCCGCTGTGGCAAGGTCATTCTACCTCCTGAGGTGACCCGGTATCAGGAGAGCGCCGTTAGAATACAGCCGGATACCCCTGGCTGCAAACCATCCAATAGGCACGGTGACGCATAACACCCTGGATTAGAAGGGAAAGGAAAGGGAAAGATGGGAGAGAAGGGTTGGGTAGGACGAGCGTGGGGGATCGTCGGTACGGTCCTCTCCGTATGTATGATTGTAGGAACACGACGCCCACAGTTACGCAGACGGGTGGTCGACCAATCTCCATACGGAGCTTCCCTCTTGGTTCGTGCTGGTTTAAAACCCCCCGAAGGAAGATTTAAACCACCACTTAAGCCTCATCCCCACGGCAAGGGGACCAACACGATGAGGAATATTTTAGTAATTCAGTTAACTTATTAAATAGTTTAACTCTTCTAACATGTGGCAACCCTTTTAAAGGAGTAAGAGTTGAAAAACAAAGATTTCTTAACACTCTTTCGTTTGTCATATTTTAATATATCATTGTGTTAACTAAAATTGACTTTTCAAACAGGTGGTAACCCTCTTCAAAATATTTTCAAACTACAACCTACTTAAATCTCTTTCGTTTGGCATCCATATTGGGATACATATGTATTTCAATTACCTAATTCCCCTAATTCAACTTGGGTTTGACTTTTTAAACAGGCGGAAACCTTCTAAATGTAGTTTAGAAAATATACCTTTTTAAAATCATTTCGGCTGATAGCTATAAAATACTAATTCGTTGAATTAACTTAATTATGTGAACTTAATTTTATAAACAGGTGGCAACCCTCTTCAAGATGCTTTCCATCTGTCACCCTCTTTAACCGACCTACATATATAGATATGTTCATTAGAGTGGTCCACAGGGTGCTCAGATTATTTAAAAAGAAAGGCGCCATTTCTGAAAAAATCGCCTAAAATCGCCAAATTTTTTTTTATCAAATTTATGAAATCGACTTAAAAAATCTTTTATTTAAAAAATGGGATCTTGTTGTAACATAGTTTTTAAAATCAAAAACGAATACAATGCCTTCACTTCACAAATTCTTCAAAATATTCATTCAAAAATATTCATACTTTTAAAAAACATTTTATTAACACTTTTCCAAATAGAACTGCTCAATTAATTTATAAATTTATTATATATGCTACAACAAAATCGATAACACTAAAAAGTGTTGCCACATCAAAATTAAAGCTCTAACTCCATAAACTACTTATCACATGTTTCGACCCATTCACATGATAGCACACAAAACATTGACTTGTAGGGAAAAAATCGCAAAAGGCGATTTCCTAAATTTTTACGCGCAAATATTGGCGCTAAATCGCCCAATCTGGACACTCTGGTGGTCCACCAGACTTTATTTTTGTTCCATGAAAATTTAAAAATTTTGAAACAAATTTTGGAGGTCGCTACCAGGATTTGAAAAATTTTACAAAATTTGCCTTTGAACATCTTTACGATGTTTTCAATCTGTCACCTTCTTTAATCGACCTACATATGTATATAGATATGTTCATTAGGGTTCCACCACATCTGATTTTTGTCCCATGCAAATTTACCAAGATTTAAAAAAAATATTTTTTTTTTTCAAAAAAAATTTACAAAATTTGACTTTGAATAGCTATAACTCTGCGAGTTTTTTAGTTTACATAAATGAATAAGTTCCAATATAGTCCCAAGTCAAAAATATGTCAAAATTTTCAGATTTCAAGTAGATTATTTCGATTAAAAAAAAAACTAAATATACTAAAACCTTGGTAGGGACTCCTAAAAATTTGTTAACAAAATTTAAAACTTTCGTGGATGTCTTTATTTTGTATGTATGTAGAACTAAATAAAGGGGTGCGTCCCACATACAAAATTTAGATCTTGATATTTTTGAGAACCACCCTAATGTCTGTATGTAAGTACATACATATATGTGTACATACACATTTATCACATATCGAATATTTACGGTAATTATAATCCCAGCGAGCAAAAAATCCGAAAAGCGATCCGAAAAAGGACAAAAAAGTTGATGAAATGCGAATTTTTGTCCGTTTACTGATTCCATTTTCGGATACATTGACGTTCCGTTTTCCAACTAAAGTGTGCGGCAGAAAAGCATGTACAGAAAAGTACCAAAAAATGTGGTGAAAAGGATACGTTTTCGGCTATTTTTTATTTTAATTTGTCTGATTGATTTGTTCTTTCAATACGCTTCCTTCTACACTTCACAGATACGTTTTCATGGTTCAAAAGAAATAAAATAAAATTGGGAAGCGCCTGACGGAATTCGAACCCGGCACCTTCTGGAAGCTAACAAATAGC